TTTGTTCATTTTCTGCCATCCTACTCAGAGTTCTGTGTTCCTAAAATTTTAGTCAGATTTCATTTCTGTTTTTTTTCCTTTCTGTCCTTCTCCAAACCATAGAGATATTAAATCATGTTTCTTTATGATGTCTTCACTTGATTCTGTTTTTGCTTTACTGTTTCTACTGCTTGTGAAACCACCTTAACTTATCTTCCTGTCTTAATCTCTCTCTGTTTTAGCTGATCCTGTATGCCAGTACAGTTTAAAATACTCCTTTCATCCATGGGCATATATTTGAATATAATCATAGCAATCCAATACTTTTTAGTACCTTCTGTGTTGCATGTTTTACATTACTAGACACTGCACCATTTATGATTATTATCCCCATTTTAAGATAAGTAATTTCAAGCTCAGGAGAGGTTAAACATTTTCAAGGTCACACAGCTAGTGAGTGGCAGAGCAAGTAATTGTAGAAGTTGGTTGGATCCTAAAGTTTATGCTCTGAACGCATACAGAGATCATGCAATTTATGATCTAAGTGGAATATATTTCATAGTGAAAAGGATTGTTACTAATAATTTTTCTGGGATAATAGATCTAAAAGTGGATCACCCCAAACAAATCAGGACTAGTAATACCGTATTAACACTACCCTCTACTACCTTTCTAATAAAACTGGAAAGGTTAGGCAGATGCCTTTTTTGGGGACAAAGGTGACATGCTAATCTTTGTACTTGCTGATTTCAGGGTAACAACAGAGCATGACACTGGAACATTTTATTAGAGGCCATATACACAGGACAGAGAATTAACAGAAAAGTAAGAGCAAATTTAGGTACTAACAATTTTGAAAATGTTTTCAAAGTCTTGAGATGAGATGCCCAAACATTTAAGAAAGAAGAGGCACAGATGATTGAGAACTGGTCACTGGGAATTTTGGAACATTGAGTGGGTAAAGAGGGTAAAGAGACGAAATGGGAGATTACTCTATTAGACTGTAAATCTCTTTAGGAAGTCAAAGATTTCTTTTATATCCTTTATATGCCACACACACACACATATTGAAAACCAATATACCATTAAGTATACCTGCAAACCATATGACTTCTGGTAGAGAAGTCTAATTTTGTGCCCATCCTTAGATCCTAACTGAAATCATTTCATATGCAGCCATTTCAGCTGCCATCTTTTCTCTCTGGGCAGGCTTTCTTATGCTTTTTGTTGAAATTGTGGCTCATTCCTACATTTCTTTTGCGTGGAGTGAAGGTTACTGCCTTCACCATCACCCGTGTGCCGTTTGACAGTCTACAAGAAACCACTTGAAGGTTAATGCATGTGCCATATATACAAAGCATATTGTGCATATGCTTACCACATGAGTATGTTATAATCCATGTCTCATATATATTTTAATAATGTTAATGTTAGCAATAAATAGAATAAAGAATCCATTATACAGAGATTCAAGTTTTGGAAAAACAGACAGTTCTGCATCAAAAGTAAATTAAGCAAGAATATTTATTTCTATGCGTCTCTGTGCTTGTATTGGAGCAAATCGACAGTGAAAATGATTTGAAGAAACCTTGGTTCATTTGAAATAAAATGCTGATGCATTTGAAATGAAGTTCCCATGGAAACCATCTCTGAAATGACAAAAACCTCAGAAGAACTTTCCTGGTGTTGCATCGGGAATACAAGAACCCTCTAAATCTTCTAGAGGAAAGTAAACGTTAAATGAACCCCTAAGGTCCTCTTTGCCCTTTGGGTCTCAAGACAAGCCTACCTTGTGGGGCTTATTTCAATTTTTTGATAATGGATTCTTTTTCTCTATTTTTCTTAAGTGTATATAGTGGGATTGAGGACAAGGACTGCGATTCATTAGAATTACTCTGGGATGTAGACAGTTCCAAGTGTATGCTGACCAATGAGACACTATAATTGCTGAGACTGAGCTGAGGGCAAGCAGGTCTTCACTGACATATGTGCACTTCTGGCCTGTGTGCAGTTTACTTGCCTGGAAGAAGACTTCTGACTTTGTGTTATGATTTTATAACTTCTCCAAGAGGACTGCAGCCTTTAACTCTGACTAAAAACATATATAACCCGTCTGCTAACTGAAGCTTGAATTTCCCCAAATAGAGATTTATTTCTTGGCTATGAAATCTGTCATCTTTAATATATAAAAGTCCATATTTTTATAGCAAGGGCTATAAAATGCAAGTTACTACCCAAAGCTTTTTTAGCCTTCATATCACTCTCAGTCATAAGCCAACATTGTGTGACTTGTGATTATCTGAATCCTCAGCAAGGTCTCTTGCCCCTTTATCTTTTTACTATTTTCATAATTTTCTTCCTTAGAGCGAGTAATTTGGCTTAAGATATTGCAGGACAAAAATGTGATGCCTTGGAAGGCTGCTGGATAATCCATGAGTGCCTAATGTTTTAGAAGAGTAACTGATCATATCAAGCAAACACTTCAAATCTCTTCTGAGTCATTGCTCAAATGTCAGATTACTCTATTTAAAATTAAATCTGTACCCCTTCCTTCTCTACCCCCTCCCTTGTTTTTTTTTTGGACAGCACTTTCGTGTTACATGTTCTGTTTGTTTTTTTTTCCTTTCATTTGTATCGTTTTTTTGGTCTTCTCCCACTTGAATGAAAACTTCATGAGGGCAAGAATTTGCTTTTTCTTTCCCAACTAAGAACTTAGAAGAGTTTCTTGGGCATAGCAGATACTCAGTATGCATTTGCAGAAGGAATATTATTTTTGTTTACGTCTTTCTTCAAGTCCCCATTATCTGACCTATTAGCTGTGGGGTCCCTTCCCTGGCCTTCACATCTTGATGCAAGTTGATATTAGTTACTTAATTAGTATTTGTTTTTAATTATCAAGCTTAATTTGCATGAACAGGTAATGCATGAAAACCAGGAAAGATTTCCCTATTTTTTGAGCTTAAAAAAGTTCATATAATCATTGGTAAATATTAGATGTGAGTGGAATAATGACTCTTCTCCTCTGAAGTCCAGTATTCCTTAATTTGAACTTTCCTGGCTCTGACAATTTCTACCCTTGTCTTATTCCACATGTGTTGCTGTGAAAGAATACCCGAGACTAGGTTATTTATGAAGAAAAGAGTTTTATTTGGCTCACTGTTCTGCAGGCTGTTCAAGAAGCATGGTGCCAGCATCTGCTTCTGGCGAGGACCTCAGGGAGCTTCCACTCATGGTGAAAGGCAAGGGGAACTGGCATGTGGAGATCACATAGCAAGACAGAGGAAGCGAGAGGAAAGAGAGGTGCTAGGCTCTCATGGGAACTAATAGAGTGAGGATTAATTCATTACCACTGGGATTGCACTGCCCCCATATCTCAAACACCTCCTCTTAGGCTCCACTTCCATCACTAGGGATCAAATTTCAGCATGAGGTTTGGAAGGTCAAGTATCCAAACTATAGCATCCTTTACGACTGCTTGTTTTTATCTATCAAGAATCTAAAAAAAAAAAAAAAAAAAAAAAAAAAAAATCCCATGAAACCCTCTTAAGTAAAAATCCTGCTTCAGAGAATTCATTATCACTCACAGGGGGGTAGTATAGCCAGTGGCTAAGACCATGAAACTTGGAGTTAGACAAACCAAGGTTTGACTTAAGATTCTGGACTCTGTTAGCTGTGTGTGCTTCCCACTTTTAAAGCAGAGATTCACATGTCTAATTTATAAGGTTGTTGTGAGAAATAAATGAGGTAAAATCATTTGTACATTGGTGTTGGATTCTTGGTGTCTGTATGAAGGTGCAGGGTTGGATACGGTGTTTGGTATACAGTAAGTGCTTAATACAAGGTAGCAAGAATTGGTTTTTCCCATATTGCCCTGTCCTTAATTGTGCTTAAAAAGATGTAATCTGAATGAAAGAACAGGTCATTAAAAGCATGATCAAGAGTGTAAACAAACATTTCCTTTTCCTTAGGGAAGGTGGTCTCTGGCGATGGCTCTGAGGGAGCCTCTGTAACTAGCTCACTGAGGTCTCTATTCAAGAATAAAACTCTCCAGATGCCTCTTATCCATGGTGTCAGGAAAGACTGCTGTCTCATTCCTGGAAGCCGGTCAGAAGACTTTGGGCAAAGTCACAATCAGAGATCGCTTTCTTCAGCTCTGCAAGAGAACCAAGATTCCCAGAGAGAACCAAGATTTTCAAAGTGGAGTAGCAGCAGCAGATGGGTCTGGGCTCCAAGTTGTCACGTTCTTTTTAGCAGGGCCATTGGATTTCCATGAAAGAGATGGGCAATAGGCAGCAGAAAGCAGCACAGTGGCTCCAAGCCGAAGGGGGTGAGTGCCTGTCTGAGCCACTGGGTGCTACAGTAGAGTGGTTAAAAGAAAGCTCAGACCACTCTCATCTGTCAGAGCCCTGGCTTGTCATTGAAGGCTCAGTGTCAACTGTCAGAAGATAAGAGGAGAAATTTGGATATTCCTGTGAAGCTCACACCAACGTATATTATTTTTCCTACCATTAATTTACATTTATTTAATGATGAGTCAAGTTGATAATATTTTCTGTGTCCATTGGTATTTTTTTTTTCTATAGCACTATGGGTTTTTTGCTTTGTAATTGAATATCATTTAAGTAAAAGTTTTAAATTGTTAATTTCTGTTAAAAAAGAAAAAAAAACCCTAAAAATCAGGTAGACATTGAGAATATAGAGTGGAAAATAAAGTATTTATCACTGCCTCCCCCCAGGTGACAGTCAAAGCTCAGAATAGAGGGAGCCAGAACACAGAGCTGCAACTCTGTAGCACTGGGACTATGCAGGTGGCCCAGGCTAGGCGTCCTCATCTGTGGAACGGGGATGAGTGTAATGCCACACAGCACTTAGAACAGTGCCTATCCCATAGTTAGTGCTCAGTAAATGTTTCTTTTCTTCTTCCTCCCATTTCCTTAATTTCCACTAACTCCCCAGTGTGTAGCCTTTCTGTCTTTCTGAGTGACTCTTTCTTTTTCTCTCACAGACATTCCTAAAGGAGAATGCCTGCCAAGAACTCCTCCTCCTCTGTGACAGAGTTTATTCTCGCAGGCTTAACGGACCAGCCAGGACTCCAGATCCCCCTCTTCTTCCTGTTTCTAGGTTTCTACGTGGTCACTGCAGTGGGGAACCTGGGCTTGATAACCCTGATAGGGCTCAACTCTCACCTGCATATTCCCATGTACTTATTCCTCTTCAACCTGTCCCTCATAGATTTCAGTTATTCCACTACCCTTACCCCTAAAATGCTGATGAGTTTTGTCTCAAAGAAGAACATGATCTCCTATGCAGGGTGTATGACTCAGTTTTTTTTTTTCTGTTTCTTTGTCTTTTCTGAGTCCTTCATCCTGTCAGCGATGGCATATGATCGCTACGTGGCCATCTGTAACCCACTGTTGTACATGGTCACCATGTCTCCCCAGGTGTGCTTGCTCCTTTTGTTGGGTGTCTATGGGATGGGGGTTTTGGGGGCTGTGGCTCATTTGGGAAACATAATGTTTATGACCTTTTGTGCAGAAAATCTTGTCAATCACTACATGTGTGACATCCTTCCCCTCCTTGAGCTCTCCTGCAACAGCTCTTACATAAATTTGCTGTTGGTTTTTATTATTGTGACCATTGGCATTGGGGTTCCAATTGTCACCATTTTTATCTCTTATGGGTTTATTCTTTCCAGCATTCTCCACATTAGCTCCACAGAGGGCAGGTCTAAAGCCTTCAGTACCTGCAGCTCCCACATAATTGTGGTATCACTTTTCTTTGGGTCAGGAGCTTTTATGTACCTCAAACCACCTTCTATTCTACCCCTGGACCAGGGGAAAGTGTCCTCCATTTTTTATACTGCAGTGGTGCCCATGTTTAACCCATTAATCTACAGCCTGAGGAATAAAGATGTCAAAGCTGCCCTGAGGAGAACCTTTTGCAGAAAATTCTTAAATGATTGAGAAACGGAATCCAAACCTTTGTTAATCAGGGTATTTCTTTTCTTTTCTTTTCTTTTTTTTCAGCGAGGGAACAAATGCCAGTGCTTTCTCTGCTATAATTAGAGAAAAATTTTAACTTTTATTCTTAAGCGCACTTATTCCCTGCACTGCTTATCCAACCCAACGATTCCAATTGTTATTTTATGAGAATAGTTTCTACAATTATACGTAGTTTAATCTTGAATAGGCTTATGAAATCATTTACTTCAGTCTCCTCATACAATACATCACACTCAATATTTTGTAAGCTGCCAATGTACACACATGTACCTGGTGCCAGAGCTGAAACTGGAGTCCGGGCTCTTGAATTTTAATCTACTCTGCTATGTTTTTCTTCAGCTACATTTCCTTGTTCCATCTTTTCGCTGGCTGATTTCGTTTTAAAGTGTTTTTCTTTTTTTCAGATGTCATGCAACTTACAAAGGCTAATTTTTGGAATAACATTTTTGCAAGAGTGTTGGAAGTGAAAAATATGGTTGATGTGGTCTTGACAAAAAGTTAAGAGAAATTTTTAAAGAATTTTGGGGTGTGTGAGTGAGAAGTAGGTTAGGTTCCTTATATAATCAAGGATGGTGACCACGGAGATGATGCAGAGCCTTAAGGGTCAAGGCTAATAATATAAGGCCTTCTGAGGCAGAGATAAACAGGTTTGAGGGAGTTAAGTATGCTAGATACAGGCTTCATTCTTTATTTAAAGATTCATGTAGGTAGAATTTGGAGCCTCACCTCAAGGGTCTGAATAATCTACATTAATAATAGACAGCTCTGGGTAAGTGCTATTAGAAACACAGCAGCCAACTAGTTGTCAGGAGAAGCAATTGCTATTGTATTTTAAGACACTGCATATATCTGTGACTTTCTATTAATAACAGTAGGGCATAAAGGAAAGAGATGGTGGTCTCAAGAGAGGTCATATATTCACAGCATTGGATAAGTGTAAGTACAACTTTATATAAAGTATCAGAAGAATAATGTTTTTGGTCTGAACACATTATTAATGGTAACAATTCTTTCAGAAATCATGGCATATGAACTGTCTGGAAAATAGTTTATTTTACAAACTTAGGAAAGTTCTCTTCTATTAGAAAAAGGGAAAGTTTGGATTAATGTTTAGCTTTTTTCCTTTGAAATGTTTCAGTTTAATCAGGATATAGTTAAGGAAATGAAAGTGTAGGGGAGGGCTGTGTTTTGATGCTAAAGGAGAGGAATGATGATTAAATTCAAGACACATGGATTGAGGGTGCAGTGGGAGTGGTGGAGAATCAGTACAATGAAAACACCCTAACCCTTCTTAAATTGAAGTATAATTTTTGAAATGAAGTGCACAAACATTAACTGCTCAATGATTTTTTTCACATCTGTAAGGCTATGATTACATACCTCCACCCAAATGAAAATATAGAAGATTTTTATCATTTCAGAGTATTCCTGCTGCTCTTTCCCAGTAATTACTACTCCCTACGCTCTTCCTGGAAATATCCACTATTCTTACTTTATCATCACAATTTCATTTTTCTCATGCTTCAGCTTCATATAAACATTAAATAGTGCCTTTGCTTTTTTATGTTTCACCTAACATAGAGAGTCATGTGAGATTCATCCATAACACTGTTCTTGGTTACTGCTGTTTTAGTATTCCGTTGTATGAATGTAGAGCAATTTACTTATCAATTATCTTCTTTATGGACATTTGCCTTGTTTTCAATTTCTGTATATTATTAATAAAGCTGCTATAAACATTCTTGAACATGTATTTTGCTGGCACTATACACTTATTTTGTTTGGGCATATACCTATATGTACATTTTATGAGTCACAAGATAGGCGTATGTTTAGGTTTCTAAATGCTATCAAATTTTCTCCCAAAATATTTAAGCTGATTTGCACTCCCATCAACAATTTCCAGAGAAGAATACTCTTCATCCTTATAAACACTTGTTATTTTCAGTATTTCTCATTTTAATTACTCTGTTGGGTATGTAGTACAATGTTGCTTTAGTCTTTTTAATATTTCCCTAATAAATAATGATTTTTTTTTTTTAAGACAGAGTCTTGCTTTGTCACCCAGGCTGGAGTGCAGTGGCGCGATCTCCGCTCACTGCAACCTCCACCTCCCAGGTTCAAGCCATTCTTCTTCCTCAGTCTCTGGAGTAGCTGGGATTACAGGTGCATGCCACCATGCTCAGCTAATTTTTGTATTTTCAGTAGAGATGGGGTTTCACCATGTTGGCCAGGCTGGTCTCAAACGCATGACTTTTTTTTTTTTTTTAAAGAAACAAGGTCTTGCTCTGTTGTCAGGCTGGAGTGCAATGGTGTGCTCATGGCTCACTGGAGCTTTGAACTCCTGGGCTCAAGCTATCTTCCTGTCTCAGTCTCTTGCGCAGCTAGAACTATAGGTACATGCCACCACATCTGGCCAATTTTTCTATTTTTTGTAGAGATGAGGTCTCACTATGTTGCCCAGGCTCTTCTCAAATTGCTGGGCTCAAGTGATCCTCTCATCTTGGTATCCCAAAGTGTTGGAATTACAGGTGTGAGTTGCCACACCCAGGCTTGTTGGGCACTTTTTACATGTTCATTAGCCATTTGGACATCACCATTCATGAGGTAACTGTTCAAGTCGTTTGGCCACTTAAAAATAGTGTTTTTAGTCTTTTTCTTACTGATTTTAGTTTTTTAAAAAGTGGATTCTGGATATGAGTGCTTTTTCAGACACACACATTGCAGTTAGCTTTACTCACTTTCTGACTTGCCCATTCACATGACCACTCATTATGTCCTTTGAGAATGATATTTAAATTTTAAGAAAGTTCATTTATCCACTTCTTTTACTGTTCATGCTTTGTTCTGTTTAATTTTTTCCTACTACATAGTCACAAAGTCATTCTCAGGTTTACTTTGAAAGCTTCATGGTTTTTTCTTTAATATTTAGATTTTAGATCAATTTTAAATCAGTTATGTATGTATGAGATAGCTTTAGTTCTTTCATAAAGATATTATATTGCATCAGCATCATTTATTGAAAAGACCTTCTCTCCTCCCTAAATTTTATTGGCTGTATTTGTGTGTGTGTATTTGAAGATCAGGTGACAATAATTTAGTGGGACTAATTGGAGAGAAGTTGACTGGGAGCCAAAGTGCTGTATTCTACATTACAATAGTGAATAATAATGAGAAAAACAGACATGCTAGTCTTGTTTTGAAGTGAAATTTCATCCTTTCCTACCTTTTACTTTATTTTAAATAACTTTTTAAAATTTAATTTTCAATCGTTTATTAGTAATAATGTAGTAACACAGTTGTTTTTTGTACATTGAATTTGTATCTAGCAAATTTGTTATTTCATTTGTGAATTCTTTTATTTATTTATTTATTTTCTTTGTATTTTTTAAAAAATATATTTTATTGCATTTTAGGTTTTGGGGTACATGTGAAGAACATGCAAGATTGTTGCATAGGTACATACATGGCAATGTGGTTTGCTGCCTTCCTCCCCATCACCTATATCTGGCATTTCTCCCCATATCCCTCCCCAACTCCCCGCCCCCCACTGTCCCTCCCCTATTTCCCCCCCACAGACCCCAGTGTATGATGCTCCCCTCCCTGTGTCCATGTGTTCTCATTGTTCAATACCTGCCTATGAGTGAGAACATGCGGTGTTTGATTTTCTGTTCTTGTGTCAGTTTGCTGAGAATGGTGGTTTCCAGGTTCATCTATGTCCCTATCATTTACGAATTCGAATTGTTTTTAAACTTGACAAGAGAAAATAAGAATTTATACTTCATTTTTTTTCTGTATATATTCTTGAATCTGCAAATAAAGACAGGTTTGATTCTTCCTTAATGATCTTTATACCTTTTATTTATTTTATTTTTTTTCATTGTCCTGTCTAAAATTTCCAATGCAATGATGAATAGAGATAAGAACGGATATCCTTGTCTTGTTTCTGATCTTACGATAAAGGCATTAAGGCTTTCACTATCGAATAAAATGTTTGCTGTAGCACTTGTTTTCTTCTGCAGATGGCAGTAATTGGATTATGGGTGGATTATAGCAGCTTCCACTTAAGAAGGGATATATTTTTCTTGAGAATACATGTAATGGTAAAAAATTAAACAGTACAAACATGTACACAGTAGAAACAAGACTTCTTTTCACATCAGTTCACCTATGCTTACGTTCTTCCTCCTGGATGCAACTATTACAAGAAATATAATAGGCATATACAAGAATATCTCTGTATCTTCTATCTACCCACATATTTATATATCTAGGGATCATTTTTTGTTTTGAAATTTAATAAAAGGGGAGATTTAGGGACGTATCTTCCAGTGGAAATGATTTAAAGAGGAGGGAGCAGAGGACATCATTAGGCAACAAGAAGAGAAATCAAACACAGAAGAGGGATGGGTCAGAGAATGAACAGGACAGAAGAGGACAGAGGAGAAAAAAGGAGGAAACAGAGCTAACTCATGGTAATTTCAGCTCTGGCAACATTTTGGTTTCTTCCGATTTTCCATCTCCACCCCATGATTTGATCACCTGTATCTTTGATTGTTGCTGTCCTGGAGGAAAAGACATTGAGCACTTAAGATGCCAGAATGGCAAACATTTTCAATTCAACAAACATTTATGTATTAACTTATATATTTATTTTTAAAAACAAGAGATGGTTTGAGCTCAAAGAGGTAAAGAGTTTGGAAGTTATAACTCTTATCCTCACAAGTAAAAAGCTAAACAAACTGAAAATCAACTACTCTTCTTAGAGCCATCAGAGAATTGAGGTCACAGGACAAACTGACTCCCTGAAAACTGGAGAAAGAAATGAGAATAACAGCTTATCCAGAGCAGAAGCTACTGGAGTTAGTATGCATGTGTGTGTATGTCTATATGAACACAGAGTACTTGAGAGGTAGTTGATGATGAATTAATTGCTGGAGCCTGAGTGTGGATCAGTTTGA